GTGCAGAACATCTGTTGCACAGCGATATCATTTTCCTCTTACCAATAATACTCATGTACACACACGAAAGTACATACTTTCACATGTACATCGAAAAATGCAGTTAACAACTTCGTATATGATTATTGAACTGTGGATTGTATGCATTTGCAGCATTTACGATTCTTTGATACTGATTATAGTAAAATATTTAACAAAACCCACAGAAATTATTATTCTCATTCTAATTATTAATCTAATATTTTATTATTCTTTACTTTATAATTATATAATATTCTTTGATACTAATTTCTATAAATCAGCCTATAAAGATCGATATTTGTATTAATATCGGTTATTATTTATTGTTATTTCGATATTTTTTCCATTATTTCTTATTTGATTACTTCTATTTTTTAGAATATTTTGACGTCTCGCATTCGAGTTGCTTTGTTATCAACATGTTAATCGTAAACATGAATTGAATTATTTAATATGTAGTTTTAATTAAGAAATTAAGTAATTAACCCTTATGTGCACAACCATAAAGAGTACAGTTATTCCACAACCGGGTACCCATGTACCCCAAGCGTTTGACTCAAGCAGATTTTATCTAAATTGATAATTTTATGCTCAAACCCTTGAAAAGTATATTAGATTACATTACTATCATAAACAAAATAATAAAATTTTATCAATTTAAATACAAAAAGGTGATGTATGACTAGACAATGATCTAATATTAAAGTCTATAGTTGAAGCTTGCTACATATGTTCATACATAATTTTCGTCATAAGAACGGACGTATGGAGGAAAGATATATTCACGTTATTCCTTTTTTGACTACTTTTCGATAACTAATCACTGCTTTGACACCATCAATCTGTTAGTTACACACTCAATATCGAGATTCTTTAGGTTCACACTACGTGTAGTTCAAGTTTTAGAGAAACCCCGTCTCTGAGATCAATTGCTGTCAAGAACATTTATTTGTGAATGGAACTGTTGTAAAAAATGTTTGATAACACATTTTTGTCATATTGAAACATGAGAAATAACGTGTTCGAAAATGGTATTTTATTCTAGTTTTGTTAATTTCTTATTACCTTCAGTACATTTCATTCTATTTTACTACATGTGCTGTAAAGCAATAAAAATAAAGAGAATTACATAACAAAATACCATTTTTTAACACGTTCTTAGAGGAAAATATATTGAGGAAGTGGCTGATTTTTTTTTCATAAAAATACGAAGAAAAACATGTAAATGTTGCCAAAATTGTAGATTATCAGAACAATAAATAAATGTAATTTATATAACACATTATTCATTTATATGTAAATGAATAATTAGTATGTTAATTAGCGAAGGAAAACAACTTTTTTGTTTATCAATATTCGACTTTCTATTATCATCTGTTTTATGGGTACCGATGAGTAGAGCATATGTTTCGTTTAAACTCTCCAACTTTTTATATTTTTACAAAAGTCTTTATTTATTAAACGTGTCTCAACTCAAAAATGTTCAAAGAAAGAGTACCTAAACGGATCTTTAAATATTCCAACCAGAACATAATCAGTTTTTACGTTAAAGTGGAAATGGTTACTCTGGTATTTACCCGATTGTGCAGATAAAAGTTAAAGTAAATTAAGTACTACAATCAAAATGTCTTGGAGTTGTTAATTGTTTCTATAAAGAATTATTAATATCCAAATTACTAAAATATAAGATACTTTTCAGTGCTTTTTGAAATAAAGTAAAAATGTAAATTACAATATTACAAAATGATATGATTACAATGTTAAATAATTTTAATTTCAAATTGGAAATTAAAATGACGTAATAAAATATCTTTTTCACAAAAATGAGTGATAGATACGGTTATCACTACAAATGTAGGAATATTCGAGGGAGGAAATTTCAGAGAAAATCACAATTCTCGAAACAATACATCGACGATTTGATGATGTTCACACAGAATAACAACGTGGAGAAAGAATATTATTTTCATGAAATTAAAGCATACGTATGTGAAATACACTCTAAATGAATGTAGGGAGAATTATGATATGAAAGGAACTTGATTATGAGAAAAAAGTTAATGAATACTTTATTTTTTAAGAGAAAATTAAAAATCAACAAACAAACTTAGTGAACAAAAAATAAGAAGTGTAAAACGAATAAGAGAAAAATTTTGCATTGACTGACTAGCTATGGAGAAAACAGCGATTGAAGAAATTCAATATACAATCCTATAAAACTTTGTCACTATTTGTATAAACTATAGTGTAAAATGGCAAAATGTTACAGAAGAAAAACAAAAATATCTACATTTATAAAATCCAAATGAAATATTTCTTTTTCAAATAAAATGTTCATTTCATCATCATTCATCATTCATTTGCAACAACACTTTTGACGCTATGTATTTAAGACTAGATTTACAGACATTTATTATGCACTTCATTGTATTGCCCCTAGAACAATAGGGGTTCATAGATATAAATCTTAGAAATTGGAATATCTAAAATAGAAGATTAGGATACATATTTCTGAATGTTATGCACTTCTTTCATATGAGATTTTAAGTTAAACTGAGGTCTCTTAACCCTCTGAACTCTGTAGGCTCCAATATTGCACCAGTTATAATATCAAATATTTTAACGAATCGAAGAAACTACCCTAAAATTATTAAATTTTCTACACATCCAAATTTTCTACTGAGAAAGAAAATAAAAGATCGAAGGGATGCTGTAGTATTTTTCATTTTCACTAAAGGTACCATAAAAATTAGTCGCAGTTGCTGATAAATTACAAAACCATCTGGAGTGCTAAGGGTTAAAGCCTGTCTCTCCTGATGCGCAGTGCTGCCGGAGCTAGCCAGTTTATACGCGTTGACATTGAGCATCACTGGTACCTTATGTTTCGCGCAAGTATTTTGCACTCTCAATTAAAAACGAAATGTATTACGGAATTTTCTCAACGGATTTCGCAAGGTAAATATCTGCTCTATCGCACGCTGAAATTGGATTTTCTCCTGGACGCTTAGTTTTTAAAATAAATTAAAAAATATCATTTTGCGTTTCAACAGAGTTTAAACATGTTTATATGTCTATAATATTATTAAAGTTCACATCATTGTGTTCAGAAAGATCTACAGAATAATACTGTGTAAGAAAAGTTTGAAAAGTTTTCATAATTAAGACACAGCAAATGTACGAAATTGAAAAATTTAGTTTTTCTTCAAAATTAAGATTCTCAAAAAACTATGAGTGGTGGAGAAACAGGGATTGCATATTTGAATTCAGCATGATAAATACTATTAATATCACCCGTTAAACCTTCTGTAACAAATATCGTGTTGACCAGTGCAATTATTAAATTTAGTACTGAAATGTTCAAACAGTTTCACGGATACCTCAAGAACTATAAAACCGCCAATTAAGATATTAGACAAGTTACAGAGAGCCGAGTCCTTAATCACATATTCAAAGATCAAGAGCATCCGGATACTTAGAGAATAAAGTAAATATTTACCTGAAATTTATATTATAAATAGACGCGTCCCTCCATTTACGCGGAGTATCCGTTCCACTAGGATTTGTTTTACGCGAATGAATATCGCGTCTACCAGTGCAAAAAGAACGAAATATTACAAGAAGAGCTAGTGTAAGTTTTAAAAGTACATTTTCATTTCGCATAGCTTAATACTCAGCTAACCGAATAGCGAGATCTTCCACTTTTCCTTTGACAACGGATTTTGTTTACTTTCTCTTTTGTTATTTACTAAGTCTTGAACCGGAGTAATTTGGAATTCACCAAATACCCTCCTTGCTTTTGTAAAATACAATTTCTCATGAAATTCATTAAATAAGTTCAATTAAAATCAATGAAAGAGATTATAATTATAGATTTTTTCGGTGGTTGTGTAAGTGTTAAAAAAAAAATAATAATATTGACATTTAAGGAAACAGAAGTAAATTTTATTCGGTGTCACTAAATTCAGATCGCCTAAATTGATATCGCGTATGAACCATACCGCGTAAGTAGTGTTATAACTTGCCGCATAAAAAGAAGTGCCGCGTAAAAGAAGGCTCGGGTGTAGATTTTTAATACTAAACGTACCGTTCTACAATAATACAATTTATGGTTACTTTAACATCCTGTTTCGTTGCGTATTTTTAACTCTCAAGTATAGTAAATATTTTCGTGACGTTGATAGTCTTTTACATAAACTTCAATCGAGACAATGATCTACAGTGAGTTGCAATAACGAGATATGGTCGAGTGCACGCGTACCCAGCAAATATTCAAAGTCGATTTTCTCGAAAACAAAGCCTCGTATGAATAATTGTTATTCTATATTTTCGGCGTATTTTTTTGACATAGAATCAGCCCCTATCCGGTTGTACCATCAATTACATGATATTCTGCACACTTATTTCTTTATTTTTATTAATTAGTAAATAAGTTAAACGATCTTTTATTCTAGTGGATACAGAAACAAAAGGAAAGATAAAAATTGAGGAACTAATTAATCGAATAACATAGGAATTTATAAAAAATTAAGTGAACGATAGAAAACATAGAATTTTAAATCAAATTTCGAAACCCATCACTTGTCCATATGCATGAAATGGAAAAGTGGAAAATTGCTCCTTATCACCAAGAATGTTGTTACTGCGTGAAAATAAAAATAGTTCAAACCGTACAGAAAATGAAAAATAACATGGCGCAAACAAAGAATTCATAATCTTGTTTAGCGCAGTAATGTTCATGCACATATTCTAATTATCTAGAACTCCTGCGAGTTTTCTTCGATGAGCATATTCTAATGAACATTGAAAATGTTGACCACTAAATTTTACTGGTAGTGATGGACATGATGTAACTGTTCGTGTTCTTGTTCATGTGCGGTCTAGTTATAATGGCCTAAAAGGTGGTGTACGCACTAATGCATTAGTGAACTCTAAAACATACAAACTAGTGAAACATTCGAAAAGCAGTTCGGCTAGAAACAGTTCGTTTAGAAAATGGAGAAAATGGTCCGGTTACACTGAACCTTGCGCGCAGCAATTAGTGTGCACCGGAGTACGAAGAGCGTTGTTCGTGGTCACCGCTTGCGACGAGCTCGGCCCCATCGCTACTCGTTGGACTGCCTCGCGAGGCACGGCTCGTGACGTAGTAGTTGCCGCGCCTCCATGTTTGCCTCATCGCGAGCCTGCCTCGAATCGAGTCGCGGCCAGTCGGTTTTCCATCCTGCTCGAGGGTGCCTCACCGAGATCCGCTTGTTCTGTTCGAACGACTTTCAAGCACTCTCGCCTCGCCTCATGTCGCATCGCCGCTGAACGCTTTCCTTCAAACGAACATGGACAACGGGAAATGTAAAATTTTCATCGAGATGTACAAGGAGCACAGGTCGCTCTGGGACCCGAGGCATTACAATTATCACAACAGCGCGATAAGGGAGAAATCGTGGAAGGAGATAAGCTCTACCCTAAACTTACCTGTTGCTGAACTAAAAAACAAAATGAAGTCGCTAATGGGCACTTACAGAAGGGAGAGGTCGCGACAAAAGCGAAGTCTTATCTGTCGGTCGGGTATGTATGCTTTTTTTTCTTTCTTTTTATTAGACCTTAAGCGGAATTGAACGTTACATGACTGGTAATTTTCATTAATATTCCATTATTGGACATTTTGTTGACGTAATACCAACTTTCCCTTTGCCTTAGTCTACGTGATGTATTTTGTAATTGGTCTTGTAATAGTTACTTTAATATTAATTATTTTCTACGAAGTATTTTTGTAATTGTAAGTGAATGTTTACTGTAAATTTTAAATATAATTATAATTTGTTTACGTTTGTTTAATACGGCTTGAAGGATATTTATATTTATTAAATTCAGTTTAAGGTCTTAATCGTGTGTCTGGCTCGTTAGTATAAGGCAAGGGGTTAATTTTATTATCTTCGTAGCAGACTGTATTTGTTCCACTTGCAGGGAAAGGAGACATTTACGTATCTAAATGGTTTGCTTTCGATTGTTTCAATTTTTTATCTGATCGGGACAATCCGAGTCAGACTATGGATGTGTTGACTAAAGTAAGTTTAGTTTAACGACTGTATACTGTCATGATATTAATCAAAGTATAGCAATAATTATTGTGTGGTTCACTGTGCTTGGCCGAATACAGTAATCACTCGAAAATATCATTCTGGATCCTCTAAATCTAAAAATTGCTCTTTCAGAAATAGTACTCAGTCTGCAAAGTATTAAATGGTCTCTATAAAAAAATTCGAAGAATCAACTGTTATCTAATTAAAAAACTCATTTCATATTTTTATTTCTTTTTTAATACAGTCTTTAACCATGCATTCACGAAGTCTTTGAAACGAAAGTAAATGTTGTCATATGACATTTCGTTGATTACCCTTTGTTTAATCCTTCAAGGAACTGTTTATAAGAAAGTTGTTCAAAGGCAACTCAAATGTAATATTTATAACATTTATTGTATATTCATCCTTTTCCATTCAACAGTTTAGTACATTTTAATGTAATGTAACTTCGTTTACTAAATTGATTAATCAGAATAATCTTGTCGTTTCAATTGTGGTCATGAAAACAAACATTTTTAATAGTCTCTCGTAGCATCAATGAACCACAAAAGCGTTAAGAACACGATACATCATTAGAAGCATAACTTGAAATTATCCAAAAACCAAAGTATCCAAATTATTCTATCCTATATACAAATTAGTTTGAAAACAAAAATGTTCATATGGATAAATTTTCCAACAAGATAATCACTTTTTCATCATTCATTTCATTTAGTAACTGTCAGTTGTTTAAGCATTTATAGTTCTCATACCTTATTATTTATTAAGTTATACAAATTTTTCAACATTCATAACTATTAGATAAAAACTAATTTATTGCTTTTCTAAAATATGCTTACCATTTATTTACAAAATATCATGTTATTCCATCTTTGAAGCAAAAATTAAAAACGGCAAAATGGTAAACTTAAAATACATTTGAAATTGATTAAATAAGATGGGCACTAAATTAATGTCTGTGCATATTTATAATTTACATTAGTTTATTACTAACTGCATATTGCTACGAGACAGTTTGGGAAAACAGCATGAAGTTCAGAAAATCTCATTAATCTGTTAATAATAATTACGTAGAAACAGAATAAGAAATATATCATTTGAGTTTAAAATTTCATTCAATATTTTATTTACTTGAAGAGATCAAGGCCAACCCCACAGTCGAAGAAAGTAATTAATTATTTGATAAAAAATGTTCCGGTCCTAGAAAATGTTGACTTACCCAAGATGGAAACTTGAATGATTTTCGAAGGAATGCTGCATTCCGTCAGGATAATGACGATGTCATTTGTTGATTGCTGTGTGATTCACCCGATACAGTAAATTATAAAAATGTAATGTGTAAAGCTGCCGTGGAGAGACGTGTCTTTTCAAACGATTATAAAAATTGTAATTAATAGCTTTTAAGTTAACGTTGAAGCCATTCTTTGTTTCACTGCAAAACCCTATTGATATTTACAAAATATTATATCTAGGTACTTAATAATTTTAAGAACATTAACAATAAAAGTTACGTACTGTGTATATAGACGTATTATAAATGTTCATAAAGATCGTTGAAGCTGTGTTGACAAAGTATGACGATTGTGTAACTCTTATAGTGGAGATTATGGTTTTGATTCTTATCGAGATATTTGTTCATTTTACAATTCTATAGTGATACTGTGGTACTAAGACGATAATTATCACCAATTGTTTAAAAAATGTTAGCAATATAGTTCTAAAATTTCCATTCAAAGAATTTGAACGCCAAAGACATATTTCTGTCTATAGTAGACCATTCAAGTTGGTCAATTATATAAAAACCATAAAGATAGTTGTTGCAACTACAAAATCTAGCAAAATGTCAAAATTCTATCGGCCATTTTTAGTTAATATAAACTACATGCTCTATATGTAATAGATAATAAACTTCTAATAATTATTGATTCTTTGGGAAGTTACATTTTTTAATTTTACAAAATTTATCGATCAAAATATTTGATCAAAATGCATATTAAACATTATACTACTAAATATACGCCAAGCTGTTAATCTGATAACATCTAGTTCCATAGGTAACTCAAAATTACACACTCTAAAAGACCTGATTGCATTAAACTGCATGCACTTGCGCATAACCAATTATAAGCAGCAATTTATTCAAAAATGCTAAAATATGCAGGATGTATCTTCAAATTAACTTCGTCGCGAGGAACATTTGATTACATTCTGCAATGTAAGTCAAACAAGCATTTTTTAATTGTTATACAATTGCTTCGTGTTTTTATTATATATGATAATTATCGTTCAACGTCACACAATTACGCTGTAACTACGATGAAATAGTAAAATCAGAGATAATAGTGCATATTCACGACACATCAGTAATATTCCGTAATTCTAATCGTTCATATCTTCAAAATTATTTATTATCTTACTTTAATATTTTATAAATATCAGTAGGAACTTGTATCATTTCCTAAAAGTTCATTGCAATTGAAGTTGTACAATTACAGATCTTCTCTTATTGTTATATCACACGTCCATTGTATTTACAACTCTATTAGCTCTAAAAACATGATAACTGAACATTTTTTTTTAATTTCGCCCTTTTTGTAATATTTGTTTCTAATTTTTCCGTAGAAACTAGAATTTTGTTAGTCTATTGTAAAAAATACATTTTTAACGACCCGCATTACGGTACAAGAAATCATGCAAACTAAATAGCACCATAATAAAGAAATATCAATAATTACAATATTCTGTTCCAGTATTTCAAGACTTTTCTAACTTATACGACATATGTATGTATCAAAAATTTATTTTCAAATTCATAAGCAACAGTGAATCACACATCGGTCTTTGATCATGTATGTAATGTATTTAAAACATTGAAGGCCGCACGATTTCATACAGCAAAATACACAAAATGAAAAAAATATAACATTAAATCATTTGATTGAATTTCATTATTATTATTACACGTTGATCTAGCTGAATTTTACCGTATTAGGTAGCGGTATTTATAATATAGAAATATTGTCAAACAATCATCGTTTAATTGAACGATCTGTAATTTGATCTGGCCGAGGGTCACCGGTTTCCTTATGGCATTCAACGTGTTAATTTAGTGTAATTAACTACCGTAAATGTGTTATATATCCATATACTACATTGTGTGAGAATATAGACGCCATATCTGTTGAAAGAATTTTTTAGATGATTTTCGGAAACTCTAAAAGAAAGATACTCGAAAAACGTTCTCCATTCGTTCTAGACCGAAGTAGATGCGACAATGGAGGAACAAAATGGAATGGGCATGGCGCACGCCGAGGTTCTGATTGAAACAGTCGAAGAAATGCACGCTGGTGCCAGTTCCAATGCGCCGCAAACGAACTGTTCCGAGTCCATCAAAGTGCCGCCAATATCAATTAAGAGAAAAAGGCGCATGACCTCATCTCCTAGCCTCGAAGGTCACCTATTTGAGAAGCTTTCTGCGCTGCTGCAAAAAAGGATGGACGTGATCAATATGGATCCTTATTTTACGTTTGGCCAGCATGTCGCGAACGAATTGAGGAAATACGATCCGCGGACGCTGGCATACGTGAAACACGCCATCAACAATATCATTTTCGACGCTGATATGGGAAGAATCCCCCAACACTTGTCCCCGGAGGACACTCAGTCTTCGGGAATTTTTGCCTCCGTGCTGTCCGAAACATCCTATAATATTCACGACTGCGCTACTATCGCTTCGCGCGTAAACCGCAAAAGTAGGAAATAAAATGTATTTTCATAAAGAACAACAATGTTCCGAATATTTTGTAAAAATTACAGTTAATTCGTCTCAGTATATAACACGTCTGCGTTTCATTTTTATACGTACGTTTCTACACCCTTGTGGCATTCCCAATATCCTCTTTATGGACTAACTCTATAATATAGAGTTCACTGCCTTCTGAATCGGATATTTTGCTTTTATCTTTTGTATATCCCTTAAATAATGCGGTTTTTTATAGTTATTTTATTATTAAAAAATTACGATGTCTATTATTATTGTTTTTAAAAATTAATTCATAATCCATAGACAATGAAGTATAATATATTTAAAATTTAAAAACGGTTTGTTTATCTTAATTTTTTGAAATAAGGAAAGTATGCAAAACCATATTACAGATGACCCAATATAATCATATGTATAAAATAGAATTTTATGCTATTTTATACATGCATCTCTATTATAAGATAATGAATTGGGTTTCTTCGGAATTTAACAAGTTCTTAAGGAATTACAGTGTCTTCTCATTAACTTCGCCCGTGAGAGCCAGCAGGATGAGACGGAGCAGAAAAGCGACTTCATCCTGGTGTTAATTGGCTAGTTATGCGGTCACAAACGAAGAGAAATATTTTTACTAAATTGTTAAATTTTTGTATTTAATAAATGATGCAATACTTTTAATCAACAGTACGTCCACCATTAGTATGATCTGTTCAATGTTAACCTGTTCACGATCAGCGTTGTATACTTGCGTCTTGTATTATTTTGTGTCTTGCGACAAAAAAAAATGAAATTACTTTCACGTGTGTTTATATCTAAAATTGTAACGCAGGATGTAAGGTGTAGGAGTTTGACGAAATTCTTTCTTTGAATTTTATTTGCATTTTATAAAGACGATTTATTGCAATTGTAGGTTAACTCTTGAGACTTTCGAAGACTTCAAAACTCGCAAAACGCTCAAACTCTAAAACCTCTCAAAACTCTAAGACTGTAAGAACACTCTCCCGATCTCTTTCTCGTATATAAACACTTAAAACGGCACACCGACATACACACACAAGGACACACGCATTCACACCGCACAGGCCTCGCGGTCATCGCACTTCGCTGATTGTTTTGCTTTGCGCCATTGCCCCGCTGCCAAAAACCTACTACTTATTGTTTCCCAGGCCATTTCTCCGCTGCTAAAAACCTAAACGCTTCGTCAAACACATTTTTTTCCGCGCGGTTCGTCGCCCCCTAATCAATTCACCTATACTCCACTAAAAACAATGCATATCCTACACAATCAATAACATATTATAACTGTGTAACTTGTTACTGAAACAAATGTTGTTCGCGAACGTGTTAAACAGTTGTACGTGACAAATTGAAGCTTCTCTCAGAAACAGTGATTCACCTTTCACATACCCACGACGAAACATTTTTATGTAACAAGCCAATCGTATTGGATGAATGCGATCAATCGTATACGGGACCTTATAGAGGTCGAGCATCGCCTTGACTCGAGAACCAAGCGAATCGGATCGAAAACCATGGACTGGCGAACGTTAGAACGAGGGAAACCACTAGGGATTCAGAAGGTTCCGAAAATAACTGTTCGATATATTTATATATCGGTTCCGATTGAAATAGTTATGAAAAACCAAAATAAGTCATAACTGTTATTCGGTATATCGGTTTTGTCTCGGGTTCTCCAGGACCGATATTATATCGGTCCTGTGCAGTTCTATAACTGTTATTTTTCAGTTCTTGAAACAGTTATGAAAAATCAAAATAGAGAAATAAAAAATAACAGTTATAGAACCGTTTCAGGATCGATATAAGCTGTTAACTGTGGAATTTTATTTCAGAAATCTCTGATAATGCTCGCACTGAAATTAAATAATGAAGTGTATACTCGTCTAACCCAGGTCAAATGCACCTATAATATATTATAAAGAAAAGCTAAATCAAAACAAAGAAGAGTTGTATGTTTATCTGAAAAATCTAAATAATTGACCGTTAAAAGAATTAGTATCATTTTGATTTTAAGATTACGTGTATACTTGTTGTGGTTCTTCATAACTGTTTCAAGAGTCAAAACCGATATCATAGCTACTTCCAATCCCTGGGAACCACGCTGTATGCCGGTTTGTCAATCACCCATAAAGGCTTGTACGCTTTTCTTTTCTTTCTCTCGCTCATCGCTCACTCCTCTTTCTTAAAAGTCTACCACCCTCTGCTGATCGTAGAATGGATAGAAATAACTCGCTACTGGCCTCGCCAAAACGCGGCGCTAACGAGGTGATGCTGTACTGCAACGGTTCCCAGCCTGGAATATGCATATCCTCGAAACTCGAGCAAACATGAACGTTATTCAGATGAAGTACACTTTCACACAACAGTATCCACCGATCCATATATAGTATATCCGTCTAATTCGCGTGTATACACACGAATGTTCCCGTAATTATTGAAGAAACGAAAAAATGTTTCAGATAAGAGTTGTTCGTCACGATGAGGGACATTTAGTAAGCAATTTTTGTTTACATTGTTATTTAAAGAGATTACAAGATCAGTGCAATATTTTTAAATCGAACTAGGTATTTTTTCAAACAGAATTTAACAAACATAAATATTATTCAATTTTTTTGAATACAAATTACATACTATTCCTCTATTAGCAATAATTAAACCTTAGAGCACACGCTGACATAGAATAAAACTGGCATTTTCTTTTATTTTTAATAAATGATTGATAACAAAGTAGTTACATCGATCACAGTTCGGAAAGAAATCATTGGGCAAGGGGTTAATGTCAGTTTATTGTCTTTCTCAAGACGAATTAAGTGATACGTACAATGTTTATCTTTAATTAATAATGCATTGACTATTTTTACAAATGTTCGTAGGCAGACTTAGGTTCGGTAGATCTTCTCTTATGTCTTGCAATGATCTAAATAATTGTGTTTAAACTTGATGTAGGGGTTTACTGCTAGTCGGATTATGACAGGTAAATTGCTGTAATAAATACAACCGTTCGAAATTGTAAACCTGAACGCGCAAACAGATATAGGACAATGTAGTTTTAGTTTATTGCAGTACCTTTTAAAACAGCACCAAAAACAGGATCTTTTGGAATTCCCGGATACGTCACGCCAAGATGACTGTTACGTTGGAGGCGTGTGTTTCATCTAACGACCGCCTCCTTACAAAAAACAGAATCAACCAATTAAGAATCATCACTCCGCCAAGCACAGCTTCAAAGGGAGCTGTCTTCGGCCGCGATTCCAGATATTCAAAGTCGTACGGACGAACGACAGAGATTTCTCCAGGTGACTCCTGTAATATTGACGAGAGAACTCTTGTATATTATGTGGTCACCTTTATACCTGCATTCTGGACGAGAAACTTTCGATACATTAAAGCAACATCCACATTATTGTTATTCTTGTACTGCTGTTAAGTTTGTTATACTTACAATTATATTGATTCATTGCACAGTGCACCACAGATTATTTATTTAACATTCCTTGTGCACCAGCAAAAAATCCTTCGAACCGGATCTTAAGAAACAAAACACAGTGTACTTACGATTCATTGTAACGAGTCGTACAATGCACCACCAAATTGAATATCGTCTCAATATCGCTGATTGCACTAATTTAAAGTATCCAATGATAGTGTGTATTGCGTTTTATTAAAGAGGATGTGGCTCAAATTAATAGTAGTTTAATTTAATTCTCGAGGGAAAAAATCTTTCGTGAAAAAGTTGAAGAGATGAAAGAAATAAACGAAAGAAAAAATGAAAAATTGAACTATACTATAAATACATGATACAAAAATTAGTAAACACGATTCGCATTCAGAAATTAATGTTATCAATGATGATCATTTCGCAGTAATAGTTTTGTTAACCTTTTAAGGGCTAAGTATCCTAAAGTTTTACCATCGAAAACTAAAACAAACACGAATTGTTAAATACTAGGAAAAAAGAAAACTATGTACTGATCTTTTGTTATTTGAATAATTCAAGTCTTCGAAGAGGCAATCGATCGAACAATAAAAGACATGTTCTGAACTTATTTTCCGCGTTCATCGATTAAAAATACATAGCTTATATATTAAAATTAGTATGTACTATACTATGACATTACAATAATGCATGCAGCAGCCCTTATTATTTTGTTATATATGTATATATATACAGGTACATTCCTATGGCGAAGAACAATATTTCAAGGCTTTCTAATCGCGTACATGCGTGCCAGCCACTAATTTGCGCAATTTCACACACACGCACGCACGCGCACGAAACAACTTACGAGAAAAGTAATAAATTGAAAATGAGATTTGCAAATATGTTAGTAACTTTACTTATCGTTACAACAAATGAAAGAAACTTCTATTTAAAATATTGTATGTTTCAATTTGTTTCTGTAAAATTTAATACACATTGTTAACCATGTGGGAAGTGTACGTTTTCTTAATAATATCTGTTTTCGCCAACAACAGACTGTATATGTATAGATTATGCGAGATTAGCGTGAGATAAAGTTTCTAATCATTTCGTTCTCATTAAATAATTATACATAGAAAATGTAAAGCATATTAAAAATACTCTCCGCGTTTATTTTTTGACAGAATAATACGGTCTATTGTTGGTAATAATAGAAATTATTAAGAAAATATACACTCTGCATATGTTTAAAAATGTGTATCAAATTTTGCAAAGACAAATTGAAAGATGCAACATTTTCCATTATTTCTTACATAAGTAAGTCATTTTTAAACAAAAGTTTATTTCCATAATTACAGAATTATTCATTTGTTGTAACGATAAATAAAGCTATTAACATGTTTGCAAATCTCATTTTCAATTTATCACTTTCCTTGTAAAGTTGTTTTGCGTCATTTGAAACTAAGGGCTACGAGAAGTTTCTGTACCAGGTGCTATTGGTTTTGAGTGGGTGTGCGGTTTTCACCTCATAACACTTTACTCATAAATTCCATGAGGCTGAAACTTTGTAGTACTAATTGGAGGAGGCATTAGTCACGTTAGTATTAATTATTGAATATCGATGCCAGTGTGGAATATTTTTTACAATTTATTTTCAAATTCCAAACAGCAGTACAATTCAGCATCTATTTGTTTTTTTTTATTTTCATCTTGTATTTCACTGTATTTTCGTTTATAATTCAATACATAGTGAAAATGTACTATTATGTAAATAATTTCATTACTTCACTTCCATATTTTTTTTTACAAGGAATATAATGTAAACATAGTGGTATTGAGTAAACTAGTGCTTTCTGTATCTTTTACATAAAAGTATATATTTTTATATCTAATAGTAGGACATATTTAACCTGAAATCAAATTTTATATCTTTCAATTGTCTAAGTCCTTAAGTTGTTCGAGTTTTCTATAATGCAACGTGTAAAAACATACAAAATTAAAACATAATTAATTGTAAAAGATATAAGTACACGTCATGTGTAATTTTACTTTATTGAAAATTCAATAGTTTTATATTGTCAGCGCTGAATAATTTGCCAGCAACGTCTAGAAACATTTTCAGAAAGTAAATGTGCATAAGATATAACTATAATACTTGAAAAATATGTCAACAGAAATTGTGTTCTGAAAATTCAACCATCGCGTGTAATATGGTTCCCTTGAAAATGTGTGTGCACGTTCTTGGGTCAAATAAGTTGGTAATAACATTCCTGGTATTCAGTTTCTAGTGTCTTAACCACTTATTGTCAGTTTGAAATAATGTGTTTTACACGCGGTGAAAATGTCAAATCTAGTCACAGTTATTTTTCGTCTTTTGAAGTTACTTTGTACAATATACTCTACTGTAACTGAATGTAACCACAAAGACGATATTAGACGACTGTTCTCACGAGAATCTACTTAATAATTAAAAGATTGAAAAAATTTAAGCTGCAAAATCTGCAGCAACCATTTAACAAAAACATCCAATCCCAAAAGTAACAAACCCAAAGAATAAACCATTAATAGGCCCATTAATTGTAATTTACGTAACATCGGCTATGAAAGTGTTAAACTGTTTCATTCCGTTATACATTGCACGTAGTTCAGACGTAAAAATACAAATGTATTTCGTTTTCAAAGGTTACTTCTATCCTATTTAAATGTTTTACGTTTCATTTTATTTCATTCACGTACATAACAATGAAATTTGAATAATGTATTATTCATTTCTGTTTCAGGAAAGAGTGCAAGCGAAGGATCCACCGTCGCACTACTTAGCAAAATTACGTACCTACCTAGATCCAAAAGCATCGCGGAGCCATCGAGTATGTTGCAATTATTTCTATTGTATACGTTTTATGCGTTCACGTTTTCGTCTCTTTTACTTTACCACGCGAATTGAATCAAATCAATGTTTCGAGATGTAATCATGTGTATAGTGAATAAAATTCTTTAATAAGAAACATCAAGTAATAGTTAACATTCCGTGAATGAAAAGAAATGTTTGTTTCGTGAAATAAAACATCGAGAAAGAACAAAAAATATTAAACTAAGCCTATTTATCAATTTATTCAGAATCTGGTAATTTGGAGTTTTAACAATGCATGAAGTTGCAACATATTATATTATATGTGTAACCATTCGATTGAACATGTTCGTAGTATGTATCGTTTAATTTGAACAAAGCGGAATTAAGTTTTCTGAGCAACGAAATAACAAATACCATTTTAAAGCGAACACTGTAATTGATAGTTTCACCAAGATGAATCCGATATCTTATGAACAAATAAGTCAAAAACATAGAATATAATATTTTCATTTATGATCCCGAAGTTTGGACGAAAATCGAAGTTAAATATTAATCAAATATACGTGAATTTAGTTAATCATTGACTAAATACAAGCGATACAATCGACAAGAGTTTTATTCTAATGCGGAAATAAAGTAAAAATATGTACAGTAACATTGTTTCTTTGAACCCTCGTTTCCGAGGAAAACGAAATTAAAAATGTCTCGCCAAACACAGCCAATTAACCAAACACAGATGTACTGTAAGGAAATCATTTGATGGCTAGGCTAGAGAATGCTGTTGATTGATCAGTTTTCATCTTTTCCCATCGAATTTTCTCTTGGTGTATATTTTCATTTAGAATATTTTTAATCACTAATTTACTATTCGCCGATACGATTACACGCAATTAATCAAAGCTGTAAAACTGTAAACTAGAAAAAGACTTACTGCTCGTGTGCTGTTCCGCTAAACGGAAAGTCATCTCCCAACTGTACTTTCGTAGAATAACTATCGAACAGTCTACCGATTGTGTCGCTCGTATTCAGTTGAATTAGCTACGTACACGAATACATCTAATTTTCAATTTAGATTTTCTCGATGAAGAGATCATAAATGGGAAACTCGTATTACATTTTTGTTCATTTGTCCTGTATAAACGAACATTCCTTTCTTGGTTGCAAAAGAAATGGCGTCAGGCTGTGTATACCAATAATTCACTATATTCATGCTCACAGATTCATAGAATATTTTTGGTTCTTGCACTGCGGAATTGTCGTTTATTTTTGGTTTGTTTTTCGCTGAACAAAATCGAGTAACAGATACTAACGCTTATATAGACGTATCGTTTCCTTGCGTTTTTCCAGAAGAGAAAAATAGTCGGGGAATCGACATCGACACAAGTACTCCGGGATTTGGAAATCTCTTTACGAACGAATCATATAGAGTAAGTTCGAATGCTATCTTTTCCAAAAGGTAGTATTACTTTTAAACTTAAATATAAAATTTCGAAACAGTCGCGAAAATATTTAGGGTCTCAAAATTCATGCAGTGGACCAAAAAAATATTTGCCTATTCAACTTTTTTCTCAATAACTGTTCGTAAAAGCTGGCCCACTAAGAAAATTTATGCCTTTGTCAGCACGTAATTAATAATTTATAATTTATTACCATCCAAATATGGTATATAAGCAGAAAAATTCTCGTGTTACGATAGACAAATATTTAAAAACGAATTCATAAATTATTATTACACAATATTATTATACAAACATACTAACAAAATATTCGGCAACGGCATATTACATGAAAATCAGTAGAAGGCCATTTATTAACAGTGTATTCATTGATATTGTGTGAACATTTAAAAAAAATTTGTCCCGTTTTCTATTATGTATTGCAATATCAAACTGTCAGCTATTAACAACCATTTTAGAGGTTAATTAGTTAAATAATATTATGATTTAAGAGTATAATATTACCATAACGTAATCAAAAAACTGTTTGTCATGATATTTACGATACATATACTCGTTTGTATAGTTACTACGAACTACATAATTCGTGTTTACTATATTTCGTTCAAGTAGATACAGAGGGATATTATTGTGGATAAAAATTGCTAAAATATATAAAATATAGAAGTTCCATGATTTCTACTCCAGAGGAAAAATATTTGCACAGACAAAACGAACATAGCAATTGCATAACAGTAACATCGTATATACTTATCTACAATTTACGAATGCATGATTCATAACGGCGTTAGTAAAGAACGAGTCTTATGGAAAAGATAGATAGAGAAAGAAGCATACCCAACAAAAATGTATTAACCCTTTGCACTCGATAGGCGACCGTCAGCTGCCATTCGATTCAACGCGGGAAAATGATAAAATTGACAATTCAATATTAAATTCTGTGCAATGAAACAATACATTAAACAATCGAAGTAAAACAGTTCTGTTCCTTAATGTATGCAAGATCTTCGTTTGTGTTACGTAGTTACAAGAAATGTCATCGATTTCATAATCAGAAAGTAATGAATATTTAAAATTAACCATTAAAAATTGCTTTCAAAAAGGGATAGTAAAACGTTTCATCTGATACCTCTAATAGCACAAACAAACTTATATGAAACATCTATTTCATGTATTATTTTCAAAGGTTACATTATTATTTTTCCACGTTATGAAGCACAAAAGAAAGTAAATTATATTAATATCATTAATAGAAGTGTTATTACAAAGTTATTGAGAAAAAAGGTGAATGTGCAAACTTTTTGTTGAAATGATTCGAAGAGAAATAGAAATGAAAGTAAAAATTGTCGTGTTTTCATTACGTTCTCATTGGCAATGAATGCGATGATTCTCTCCCAATGAAAATGAGTAATGAATAGTAATGTAAATTAAAAAATTTACTTTACTTTGTTTCCATATAAGTGTTTTAATGCGGTATATTATTATATATGATATATGTAAGTATCTCATGTGTATGTGCATACGTTGGCACTTTTATTTGCTGTAAATACTATCATATTACATGAAATACTTTGATATGGAATTGCTATATCATCAATAGTATCGGGCCGAGTACGTTAAAATTTTGAACGTTCATTGTTTCCAAACAATTCCAATTTGTTACAAAAAATCCTTTTTCATATATTACGCGATTCAACTCCCTTTTTCGTAGTGTTTTTTCCAAATCAGTTCTTTTACAAAATACCAAAGAAATAAGAGAATATAACTAAATTAAATAAGATTTAAATAAAGTTTTCCTTTTCCTGCGATTCCATTTACATTAACTTGTAAACACCATAAACAAATATTTAATCGTATAAGTATTACTTTATTACATGTGAACCAGTTTTCTAAACTTTACCTTACGACACATATAAACTTTAGATGGGTGAGGGAATTTCTAGACGAGGAGAACCAAGGCTTAGATGCCCTGATAGACTACCTCAGCTTCAGGTTACTCATGATGAGGCACGAGCAGCGTCTTTTAGAATGTCACACGAGTTCCGAAGAAAAATTGCAAACCGGTAAGCGTCGGTACGCTGTCCCGTGACTCGAGAAGCAGGATCACATGTGACCCATATCATTTGTTACCACTAATCAAATGATTTTTGTTCTTCCAAAATACTGGAATATATCATTTTATAATATTTAAATAGAAATGTGATGAAACAATTCGTTCTGTTATCTAGAGGAGAGTATGAATATGAGATAGAGTAGAAATACGAGACACCAAGGTTTCGACTGTACGCAGTGTCGATATTTCTGACAATGAATGTATATCGATTATTATGATGACTAAAACACTCTCCCATAGCAAACCTTGATAATATTTACTGTTCCTTTGTTTAATGGATGTCTAACATTCTAGCTGTAATAGAAAGTTTCTACACGTGTTTGTTAAAGCAAAGATTACTTTGGTTTTATTTTAATTTGTCAATAAAGATTTAAAGTACTTATTTGTGTTTTTCATTATAATATTATAAGAGAAAGTTAAGTGGCAAATTAATGGAAATGGATGCGATACTTGATTAATAGCGATATGAGACAGTCTCATATTACTACTGCATTTAGAAATTGATTAAATATTCAAGCAAATTCGAATGATCTCTTCAGATGCCACGAACAAATTTAAATCAAGAAAGGAAACGGTGAAAAATGGTTTTAAGAAATAAGTTCGAAAGGAAATTGGTTAATTTGGTTATCTTGAAAATGAAATAAAAATTCTTTGAAATCAGTGCTAACGCTAACTTTAAACAATATAAACATAATTAACAGTAAAAGAACCAAAAAGTAAAAAAGATCAGAAGTCCTGAAAGATTCAGAAAATTTATGTTTGCGTAGTACATATTACATATGATTTGTCAAACTTCGTTCGATTTTTTACTTATAACTAGACTGTGGATCTTTATGCAAATTCAAAATTTTGAGAATATAATTAGAAATATAGAATTACGCTGGAAAATCATTTCTCTTAACAAATAGTACAAAAAGCGCGGTACTTTGAATATTCGATTTTTTTTCGTATCGTGTGCATTATTTGCAATTTTGCATTTTCAAATTTCCCATAAACGCATCAAAATCAACAGTCTTCTTATGACTACTCTAAAACATCCTGTAATAAAACATAAAATACGTATCCCATATTCGTACCCTCGCCTCTATGGATAAGCAAATCTTATGTTGGGTCAGATGCAATTCTACTTTATCTCGCGTCGAACATTCCCCTGTTCAACGATTAATTAGCTGATGCAAACCGTGCGCGACGTAATTAATTTTTCCAGCTGGTTCTGGGGACACCTCACCCCTAAATAATGGATGCCTCAGGCCACCCCTTCACGAGCTTAAGGATAGTCCTGGTGTTAAAAGGAGATCTCGGCACGTGGCTCGTTTGAATATGGGTGAAGCGAAAGATGATATTCACGTTTGCATACTGTGCATGCGTGCCATCATGAATAATAAGGTACGAAAATGTCTACAAAGAATCGGTACAAGAACTCCGACTTTGATAAAACGAACAATTTTTTCACCTGTGAACGCATTGTGCTTTCGAATTCATTATCATTTGTTTTCTTGCACATATTTCACTCGGCTTTACGAATTGTTGCTTTCAAAAATATTGGAAACATTACTATGTAAATACCCACCACCCACGATTGATAGTTCTAGGATCAGGAGAACATTCTCTAGAAATAACGCAATTAAGTAAATTTATTTTCTAACGAATAAATTATAAAACTGTCTAAAATGAAGGTGATTCATATAAAAACTATGACACTACCCAAGTTTAAATAGTAATAAGAAAATATATAAATATCTAAATTTTAAAAATTTTAGATTGATGAAAATTAATATAATGGAAATGACATTTTTTTGCAAAGGTTGTACAAATTTATATTGCTGTCGACTGATTAATGATTAAACATTACAGCTTATCCGTTGACTGTACCGGTCTAACAATCGTTGAAATTTATTTACAGTATGGCTTCAATATGGTTATTCAGCATCGGGAAGCGATCAATTGCATCGCGCTTAGCTTAATGCACAAGAGTCTAAGGTAAAGGCTTACTCATTCTTTTTCAAGTTCGAATGATTATTAGCCGATTACGGAATGAAAAGAAGAATACTTTGATTACAGGACGAAAGCCCTAGTGTTAGAACTTCTTGCTGCGATCTGTCTCGTGAAGGGTGGCCATGAAATTATACTGTCGGCGTTTGACAATTTCAAGGAAGTGTGTGCGGAAAGGCGAAGATTTACAACGCTGATGGCGTACTTCACGCAATACGACAGTTTTCACATAGAATTCATGGTCGCTTGTATGCAGTTCGTGAATATCGTTGTTCATTCGGTAGAAGATATGAATTTCAGGGTACATTTGCAATATGAATTCACTAAACTCGGATTGGACGAGTATCTGGAGAAACTTAGGCATACAGAGAGCGAGGATTTGCAGGTTCGTGAATTCTCTGAACACTGGTTACGTAAATTACCGACTGTTCAGAAATTGGTTCTTTACCTATCGATTATCCGGTTATGTAAACTAAACTGCAAAAATAGGCACATTGTAAATAATTATTGATATTAAAAGAGCTACACCAAGAACTTCATCTGGATAATTGAACGGGTATATTAATTACTGATTGCATTACGATAGATAGAAGATGCATACATTGACTTCAGTAGGTTCAAATGCTTGTTCTTTCACAGCTTGATCAGTTTTTTCATAACTTTATGTATAAAACTAATTTAATAAGAAATACTCGGAGAATCTAACTGTTTTATTTGTTTTATGGAATTAAATTGGACCAATTCTTTGTATTTCTGCTATTTTCGGTATTGACGTTCTTTATTCTAATAAAATAAACATCTACCCTTAGAGTGTACCCTCTGTAATAGGCAACGGAAAAGAAATATAAAATATAACAATCTTCAAGGTAGAAATATACATTAAAATAAAAATTTAATATAAAAATATACAGTAAAATATTATCGTGATCTAACTTTTTATTTGTTACAAAATAAATACAGATTATTTGTAATTCATACCACAATTAAGGTGACATTTAGAATATCGTGTAGACAAATTTTGTAAGTGTAAAAATGTTTATACACTTGTTACTCGTTTAATATTATATTGACGAGACCATGATGTAATAACTGAATAATGTAACGAGAATTTATCAAATTAGTAATTAACACTGTTTCTTGATATTATATACTGGAATAGTCATTCGATATTCTTGTTACTGCATGTATTAACAGAAATAATTAAAACTTGCAATCAAGAGAAATACATAAATCGATTCAATTATCTTTTTAGGCTATAAGTTAGCAGCAGAAATATTAAAATGCAGTTGTTCTTAATATCACATTTATTCCACAGGTTCAAATCTCTGCGTATTTAGATAATGTATTTGATGTAGCTGCCTTAATGGAAGACAGCGAAACAAAGACTGCCGCTTTAGAAAAAGTTGCTGAACTAGAAGATGAACTTGGTCACGTAAGTTTAACAAGGTTCCGTTAACATATTGTATATTCAAAGCGAGAAATCTCGTTTTCATATAAATTCCAACTGATATAACTTCGCTGATTACCGTACCACTTAAAAAGAATTACATTTTATCACAACTGACTATTTCTTTAACATGTATTAAATAACAATAAAATATTTGGGATTTTTCACATAACAGTGGTATAAGTTAATTTTATTGAAAGTCGCTGCCCAGACAGCTCAGTTTTCTAAAAATTAGTCGGCGCCCAATGTGTTAACATTCCATGTATACAGGGTGGAGCATGAATCGCGATCAGCTTAGATTATTCTGCTGCTAGCGATTCGATCGGGAGTTTTGTTAGCTAAAATAACATGGTTCAAGGAGAGCTTTAAGATGATTGTAACAAATCTTTTGTCAACTATCTTTTCCCAGAGTTATCAAAGTCGGCTTCGGTACATACAGACTATGAAACACTACTAACAATTCACGTTCGATATCATTAAATGTGCCTCAAGGCACAAAACGAAATGTTTACAAACAGTATGCGAGAGATCAAGTTAATAATGACTAATACTAATCTATCAACAGCTTTGGATAGTATGTAACAGTGTACTTGCTATTCCTATAATATTTGTTATGATGCTTGTCGAATTCGTCTCAACATCCCTCAAAAGATGGATATAAATAAATTGTAAGTTTACCTGTGAAAGACTAAAGGTGACATTGATAACTCTGGAAAAAAAAGGGCTAGCAAACAATTTGGTAGAATCATCTTAAAGCTCTCCTTGAAAAATATTATTTTTCCAAAAAAAAAATTCCGATCGAACCTCTAGCAGCAGAATAATCTAAGCTGATCACACTTCATGGTCCACTCTGTATACGTAATCACGGAATATTTACTGAATTTGTTACACGATTAAAATAGGCACACGACAGAATGGCAGAATTGGAAAGGGAATCCCTCGCGAAATTAGCGGAGTTAGAGACTGAACTAGGTGCATTAAAAGTAGAATATGCCGAAGCGGTGGACGCTCGTCGATTAGTTGAAGAGGAACTGACTGCCTTGAAAAGACAGAAGCAGGACTCGGCTCGAAGGCAAAGCGTCTTGGAAAACAAAATCATCGAATTAGAAACCCTTACGGGTACACTTACCAAAGGTTCTACGGGTATGTTTGATTTTTTCAGTAATTTAACCGTTGCATACGAAATCCTCGTTTTTTCCTATTTCATTTCATCACATGTAAGTAGAGCAATATTGTAGTATTCGTCACTGTATTGATATATCGGCTACTTCTGTAACGCATACATAGAGCAAACATCTCATTCTACAGCAGTCGAAGGTTTGTGTTACCTTCCACTTTTATTTTCATTTCACGCAATGCTAAAACAGAAAATATGTTTCCTAAGAGATATGATAAACAAAAAAATAATCTAAATAAAATACAATGAATTATATATCTTCTGTATTCAAAATGAACCGGAAAAAATAGTGCTTTATAAATCTGTTTTTGGATTGATTCTTGCTAATAAGATAGTTACTTAATTAAAAAATATTGTAACACACAACCTGCCACTAATGCAATATTATTATTTCATGATAACAGTCGCATACTTCTTAATTAAAAACTACTCAAAACTTAAATATCTGTCTCTTTATATGCAAAGCACGTAATCGCAACGAACAAAAGCGAATATAATAAGTGCAATATACATTGACGTCTGTCACCAAATTGCATGTGTATTTATATGATGTCGTAACCACTTAAAAACGAGGCAACGGTAATATATAATACCGTTAATATATATATATATATATCGTCACGGTTAAAAAAAATGTTTAATTGTTAATAATCTTAAAACAAATATAATTTCAAAAGATATGTAGAATCACTCTCTAGTAAAACCCAGTAACGAACATCCTGTATACAAAATAATAAAAAATTTATTTTATTTATGGGCCATAACTAAAAAGTAATATTTCGTACAGAACAATTTACATCAATTGAGGTGTCATATGCATTTGGGAAATACATTTATTATAACATTGTAAGAAAAAAATGTTGGACAAAATAAAAACGATGACTCTCTTTCTTTTTCTATTCAAAATTATATTTTATTTTATCTATATTATATTTCAGTTTATTTTACCTTATTATAGCATTATATATGGCATTAATATATTATACAATATTATTTAAATAATAATACATTTATTGTAATGGTAATACGAAATGTTCATAAATTGTAATCTGCAGCGATCAGATGATAATCAATTACATTATAAAATGTTCTTGTAGCTTCCTTGAATATAATATGTATTACACGATGTTCATAAAAAGAGCGTATGGGGATGGCAAGACCGTATGATACGCTAATACTTTAATTAAATCAAAATACCAGTGTATAGTGTTTTATAATTTAATACATTTCAACAGCGAATCTTCGAAATGGATCTGTGACGAGTCCTCTGAATAATTCAGACAACACATCGTCGCCTACGTTTAACTCGACTCCGTCGCCAACATCTGCACAAAGTCCACCGCCAGCTCCTGCGCCACCTCCGCCACCGCCGCCTCCGTGTCCGCCACCGCCTCCTATGGCATCTCTTTCTCCAGGAGACCAAAAATTACCACCACCTGCACCTATACCTCCACCACCTGCCGGTATGATGCAAGCACCAGATGGAGCAATGACTATTAAACGAAAGGTGCGTGCCCAGTTTCAAATAATACTTAATGCATTGTTTTCTCATATCTATACAGTAAACCATGTACGTTTAAGTTGTCTCAAAATTATGAATACAAATATATCCAGAGTAGAGGTTTCTTAATCCTTCAGGGATGCCACTTATATTGACTCTGATAACATTCTCAGTGGCCAGAGGCAATTTTCCTTTTCTTTTATTATTTAATTGTGATTTTTCCTACCTTCTAGAATTAAAGATAGCTATGAACAATATCAGAAGGTGTACATTATCAACGAATTCTGATAACTTGTAAAAGAAACTAAGAATTGGGCATTGTCCATTGAAAAATGATCAAGAGATGCAATAGCCTTAGTGAAAGTAATGATAAACTTTTCAAATTTATAAAACTGTTGAAATTTTAAAATATTTATAATAGATACCCATCATGTACTAAGTACAACAACCACAAAAACAACTGTCGCCAATAATATATATAATAGTATAATAATTTAAACTACTTTTATGATTACCAGTATGGAATGCTTTTCTATTATTATTATTGTTTACATATTTTTGAAATCTTTTTAAAGAAATTTTGGTAAACATAATATATGTAGTGTGAAATAAATTTCGGCGATTTATTCATTGAAAATTTAACTGACTTGATTTTAAGGGGTGTTTTCCCATCGTAGGAAACATGTTGTTCAATTAATTCGTCTAATTCAAAACAAAGTAATTCATTAAAATATTTATTGCTTTTAAAAATGTAACAGGGAAAATTTCATGTAATATTTGATTTGCATAAATCTAGCAATCGTCAGTGGCAAAATAAGATTAAAAATGTATTGATTAAACTACGTAATAAAGATAATAAACTACACAATATCAATTTATAATTCTGAACTGACAAAATGTAAATAGTTGTACACATTTAATTATTTGAGGAAAACATGTGATTTTGAGAAAAATGTATTTAAAAACTCTCATAAGCATACTTTTTTTATATGTACTCTTTCTTAAAATTGTTGTAATCTCATATCACCTCATATTTACATATCTTACTGAATTTATTAATAATATTGTTCTAGCTTTTATTGGAATAAATGAGATTAATTTATATTTGTGTAGTCAATAGTCCTGTAAAATACAAATGATCAGAAAATTGTTCACGTACTAGATCTAGTATATATTTATTATTTATACCAAGTTTCAAGATATCTTCTATTAGTGGAATTGTTGCGTTATCTTTCCATATTCTACTATTTTATTATAGACTTTAAAGCAAGGTCTAGGCCGCAGATTATACACGTATGTTTTAACACGTTCGTCGACGTAAATGCTATAACATTCATTTTCATTGTAATGCAAAATGGCATAAATGCTATAATATTCAAATTTGTAAGCCACGTTATCAAGCATTTAATTCTATATAGCCTCTTCTATTTATAACCAAATTAAGATATTACAATTAATATAAAAGTATATCGCGTGTCTTTTTTTGCAACTCATTATAATTTTTACTGACCGTGAACATATTAAATATATTTTTTCGTTGTATTCTATCTCATTTATACGTTTTCATTTCATTGCAGGTTCAAACGAAGTACAAACTTCCCACACTCAACTGGATTGCCCTAAAGCCTAACCAAGTTCGAGGTACCATATTCAACGAATTGGATGATGATCGATTGCATAATTATATAGACTTCTCCGACTTTGAAGAACGATTTAAAATTGGTATGGGTGGTCACATAGCTAACGGTACCAACGAAATTGACGGACTTCATAGTTTTCCTAGTAAACGATTCAAGAAACCGGAAAATGTATCTCTTTTGGAGCATACTAGATTACGAAATATTGGTATGTATTCCAAAAACTGTAATACATTTCATTTTGACTTATAAATAGTGCATATTCATTGTGTTTACCCTATATTTTTCTAGCTATATCGCGAAGAAAAATGGAAATGCCAGTAGAAAAAGTCATTTCAGCCGTGAATGCACTTGACCTGAAAGTACTTTCGCTGGAAAACGTGGAGTTGCTACAACGTATGGTGCCTACAGATCAAGAAGTATGTTTTATTCCTTTATAAAATATAGATACATTAATTGTTTACTACACAATCACATTATATATTTACGACTGATTTTTGGCCTTCTCGGGATACAATATGGGTCAATTCTTTAACGATAGTAATTACAATCAGGTATCAATTTGATGTGTGAAATTTTCTGGTTTTATTCACATAGAAATATTTTTGTAGGCAACAAGATTTTTCTTAAATCTAACTCAGTTCAAAGATCAATTAAAGATAATTCAGTTAAAATCGTATTTGAGTTCATTTTTATTAGAAATATTTTTTAAATATATTAAAAATACACATAAGATAAAATATTAGTTATAGAAATTTATTTTGAAATATTTATAATATATCGATTGCATTTCTTGGATTGAGACTGGTTTTTTACTAAATTTTGCAAAAAAAATGTATTAATAATAATATTAAAAAATGTTATGGTATTACAGATTAAAGCATATAGAGAGTATGTCATAGAGAAGAAGAATGTCAATCTTCTAACTGAGGAGGATAAATTTTTAATGCAACTTGGTAAAGTCGAAAGGATATCGACTAAGTTGTCTATTATGAATTATATTGGAAACTTTTTTGACAATTTACACCTCATTACTCCACAAATATATGCTGTGATATCTGCATCGAGTTCAGTTAAGAGCTCGAAGAAACTGAGGGCAGTATTAGAAATTATCCTTGCTTTCGGGAACTACTTAAACAGTAGCAAACGAGGGCCAGCATATGGATTTAAATTGCAGAGCTTAGATACATTACTTGACACGAAATCAACGGATAAGAGAATGTGTCTCTTACACTATATTGTAGCTACAATACGGGTTAAGTTTCCGGAACTTATTAATTTTGAATCTGAACTTATGTATATCGATAAAGCTGCGACAGGTGTGTATACTCATATTTTTATAATACTTGTCTTTGTACATTGGAATTTAAATTCTCAGTAATTAATTAAAAAGAGAAATGTACAAAACGAAAATTTGATAGTGAGTTATCACAAAGTAATCTTATGTATTTATTTTTATAAAATTATAGAAATATAATTTAATTATTTTTAACTTGTTCGAAATTTGTTGCACATGACATAAATTATAAGGTAATGCAAATCTTTCATTTCAAAAGAAAGTAATACTGTGAAATCCTGGCCGGAAAACGAATTTTCATGAAGTTGTCACCTATTATAAAATGTCAAATATTTGTTTTTAGTGTTAAAAATTTCCGACACAATCGCAAAAACTTACTACATTGCATTCTATGTACATGAACACGCCTATAAAGTAACACAAGTATAGCTGCACGTTCGTCGTTTCGTCTATCAATCTCAGTCAATTTTATGAAAATCAGTTTTTCGGTCGAAATTTAACAGTATTACCCAAAAGAAAAATATTTTGCTAGTCCAATACATTATATAGACAAAATTCAAAGAAAGATTTATATTTTAACATAATTATAATTTCTAAAAGAATTTTTTATTTTCCTTTCATGTGGCACGTTATTCAAAGTAAATTACAAATAAAGTTATGCAGTATGTGACATTTGTCTTAAATCTCCCTTTAGTTAATTGTATTGACAAATCTGTCTTAGTACCTAACACATAATATTAAATATTTCAGTTTCATTAGAAAATATAACTACAGACGTCCATGAATTAGAGAAGGGTATGGATCTTGTAAGAAAAGAATTCGAGCTTCGTGGTAAAGAGAAACATAACACAGTACTACGAGATTTCTTAAATAACTCCGAAGAAAAGTTACGTCGGTTAAAATCTGATGCTCGTGCTGCTGGTGAAGCGTTTCGAGAATGCGTTGAATTCTTCGGGGAAAGTCCGAGACAAGTCGACGCAAATACATTCTTCTCTCTCCTTGTTAGATTCGCAAGAGCATTTAAGGTAAACGTTCATTATATTAAGTGTTGTGCATATAATGTATTATTTTTCTGTTAACTATTTTGCAAAATTTCAATTTTATCACATGATGAAATAAGTAACATTTATTGTTTATTTTTACATATCATGTTGACAAATTTCAGCAAAAAAAGATCCTTACTAAACGTAAAAATCATAAAAATAGTATTAAAAAAAATTTGTTGACATTATAGAAGTAATATAGTATCATTTAAAGAAATGAAAATCATTATTACTATACAGGGTGGACCACAATAGGGAAACGTGTAAAGATCATATAAATACTGTTCCACAAGTAATAATTCAGTTATTTAAAGTTATTAAGAAAAATATATATATACATATTTATTGAACTTAATGAAATATAATTTATTAAAACATATTTACTGATCGCTCATATTGAAAATTAATGAAAAAGGTAATACAAAGCAAAGTATTGTTGCAGGCTGCAGATCAGGAAAATGAACAACGTCGTAGGTTGGAAGCTGCTGCTGCGGAAGCTTTGAATACCTCAGAGGAAGTCATTAAACGAAATAAGTTAAATCAAAAGAAACAACAGGTATATTTTATTCGTTATTTATTTCTTTTACCGTATAAATTTTTATTCATTTATTATTGTTCTTATCATCATATTCTGCATGTAATGCATTTAGTACTTTGTATTTAAAACAATTTTATTTTTGTATTAACAAACTTGTAACATAAATTTGATTATTATGTGTATACTTGCATCTGATATGTGTGGTCCATTTTTCCTTTAAAAAGCTTATTAACTTTTCATTTCTATACCTTTACACTGTAGATATAATTGTGACTTTTTTAAATTATTAAATACTTCACTTTTAGTAGGATTGCCGTTTTACACTTTTATAATATATATAATTTTATATGCTAGAAGGTATACTTACTGCATTAAAGTAACTTTTTAGCTTATTGATGACACCCATGAATTCATTGCACTTAATTCTGATACAATTATTTATAACAACATACAAACACTTCTGTTTCTGTAATACATTCAGTCACAGTTCTCTCTCTCTTTCTCTCTCTCTCTTCCTCTCTCTCTCTCTCTTTCTCTCTCAACATCAATGCTATGACAGTTTTATTTACGTTTATTATTAATGATAATAATAATAATATGAATTTAAAGTTTTAATTCTAAATTTACAATGATTTAATAGAAATTTGTGTAATTGATGAGAAACAAACGGTTAATTTTGTAGACATAAGAATTGTGTTATAGTAGAAACTAGGAAGCATCAACCAAATTAAAATTAAAAAAATAATAAATTTCTTCACAAACTACGGTACTTAATAATCCATAAGCTGCATGGATGAATACAAATATATTTATTTGTCATTTTCTTATTTTTTTAATCTTCGAGTTCTTAGAACTTTTTAACACATTGATTGCTATGAGAATCTAGAGTATATTATATATCACTTGCTCTTTTGTCATACGAATAAATAAACACAATTATTAATTGTTTCGTATCACAATTCTTATGTTACACTATTATCTAGTTACTTATGCTATTAAACATTTTTATTCTACATCAATAATCTTACATATTGTATTGTAATCGTTTTCAAGTAATTCAGAAGTACTAATCATCACCGATTACTGTGGTAACGAACGTGTTAATGTCCCTAAAATATAGTGTTTTCCTGTAGTACGTATAAATTAATCTCTTGAAGGGCATTATTTTGTCAATGAAACGTGTTTCATTGCATAGGTCAAATACTCGTTTAAAACGTGATTTTAAACAATATTTATAAATTCGACTAAACAAATTTTAAATTATTATTTTGAATACTCAGAAACAGAAATCTGTGATATAAAAACGGAGCTTGAAGTTTAACGAAAACGATTAATTTGTTAAGTTATCTGCATTTAACAGAGTGTTCTAGTGTGATCGATTAAAATACTCGATTCTTCGAATTGATTGTCAGGATATGTAAAAAATTATCGTACTGATCAGTCTCAAATGTTGTATGTCTCATCAACACATACATGGCTCTCGTCGGTATATCAGTCAAGCCAAAATATATTTTTCCGAATTTTTACAACCATTTAACCCTTTGCGGACGGATGTCGGCATTTCGGTAAGATGAAATGTTCAGATTTGGAAGACTAAGTCGTGGACAAATAATGTAATTAGTCACACAGCAAGAGACCAGCACGTAGTTTTCTGTGTCCGTAAAGTTTCTCTTTGTCCTTAAAAGATTAAAGATAAAAAGAAGGGCGAAAAAACGGAAACTTTAAATTCAAAGCGCCGCAATTTTTAAAAATTTACAATATATTTTCTCTATGATCATTCTTCAAACATATGTAAATATTATAGCACAAAGTTTATGCTAATAATTACTTACACTGAATTTTCATAAATAATTCGCAAAAAACGTAAAGAGAAATACCTGTTACACTAGAATACTCCCTCAAATTCTACACCATATATGTCTTCTTAGTGAGTTACTAAAATAATATATATAATACATATCATGGTCTTCGTTAGAAATAAATGTATTGTTTGATGCTTCTATCTTATGTATGTGCAATGAAGTTAATTTATTCATACCAAGTAAACTTATTTATTTTGTGTAATAATGCATGATTTATGCTTTGCAAAAGAAGTAATTGCCTAACTTTACACTCATAACATTTCTTAATTAATTAATACAGTGCAGTTCAGGGAAACATTATTCATCGTTACTATATGAAACATGTTGTTTAATTTACAATTTGTTTTGATGACATTATTACATTTAAGAAGAGAGCTTTTTAACAAGAAGCGCGAGACGTCATTCTGAATGATACATTAACAAGGATTCATTATAGCAGTATAGTCACAAATTTCAACCAAATATTTGATGTATTTAGAACAAAAAAATTTTGGACATAATACATATCTAAATATTCCTGTTTATGATTTACAACAATATTTTATATTAAGATTTTAGAAGCTTAAAGAAAAAAGTGAGAACATTGAATGCTGCTGAGGCATACATAAGACGTGAATAAACTTTAAGATAAGTTGATAGTTAAATAGAAATAATTAAAACATTAAAAAAATTTATAAATAAATTTAGTGTAGTAGAAACAATTTAAAAAGGATTATACTTGTAGTTGGAACAGATCTTTGCAGAAAAATTAATTCATACATTCATATTTTTATAAAAGTACCTAACAGAATTTTATGGCAAAATGAAAACCTATATATCATTTTAAAAAAGACTTTAATTGCTTTTTTATTTTCTTGGTTTGTTTATTCATATGAACATTATATAAATACAATGATTTTACACATAAAGGTACTGATACAAAATATTATAATTAATTCAATCGAGCGTTGACTACAGTCGACGATCATCAAATACATATACATATATGGCCAAGTGTCGACTGTTGAACCGGAAACGTCGAAAGCCACAGCATTGATCCTACAGATAAAAATGTACAGCATGAAATATTTAAAGCTGACCATCCGAATAACTTGTCTAGTTTTGATGACACTTAAAATTACTTTAAACATGTGTAACTTAAATTTACATGAAAGATTTAATAAAATTTAATTCTTCTTTATACAAACATTTTTTTGTCGTTTTCATTTTTAATAGCCTGTTTTAAGTATACAATTGTTTACTTATAGTTAAAGATTAGTAAAAATCATCAAGGATTAACCACAGAGTACATGATTTACTTTTAGACATATAAAAATTAAATTGTGGAGTCTAGACTATATAACAGGCCTGTATTGTTTTTTTCAGTCTTACAATATTTTATTGAAAGTCTCAGACTTTTTTCACATTCTTTTCAACAATTCGGAAACTTACATGTAATATGTTTATATTGCCTCATTTGTTTGGAATAGTTGACTTTTTAAATGAATTTAAAGTTTCGATAAGAAACGATTATAAAATTTCGTTTAAATTCTGCACTACTAACACAAGTATTTAATAAAACAAAACTAAAAGTCACTATCTACGCAATCAAAAAATTATTTATTTATAAACGGAAATTTTATGTTTAATATTTTTATGTATCATACATAATTATAAAAACGTTCGTATACATGTCCATACATTTTTTTTCTTTAAATACACTAAAAATTATGGTTGAAACCAACAGTGTTACTGCGACTTCCTTATCCAATTTAAACGAAAACTGATAACGTTTAAAAATAATTTTCGTAAAGTTCAATGCTCCCGCGAATCTTAATTTACAAGGCATTTCTTTTCGCTGCATGTTGTGAGATAGCATGATATATTACAGGGATTATTTATATCATTATAATAATTATTATTTCGAGAGTGCTCTTTCCGCATTTTTTCGTATTTTTTCTCTTTTGAACAGACAATGTGTCTATAAAGGTATCTCACGAACATCTATTTTTCTTATTTGTTACATATTTATTTGGATTTAAAGTCACCGAAATTTTGCTGTAACACGAACAAGAGTCTGTTACACCGGCATCTTAATGAACTGGAGCTCAGAACGTAACAATATAGTGAACGTAACAATTCACAACATGTAAGTCTGTGCTCACTCACTTCCTCCTAATAACATATATTTAATGATCGTACTAGCACATACACTGCACTGAAACAACACATGTGTAGGTTCAGCTTTTATTATCTACGCGAAACACAATTCAGAAAACTGTACACCACGTTTGAAAACAGTTCTCAAACAGGTTTCACATTATTTAACAACAAACAAAATTATTAATCTACTAAACCAACAATTTTTATACGCAGAATGAGACTTCATTTCTAGAAAGAGATTTCGAATACTTAATGCGAGTTCCTGATTAAAAAACTTGAATAAATTTCAAAAAGCAAAAGATACGCTTTAAAAAATTAAAATAATCTACTGGTACTATTGACACATTCGCGACCACTAACGTAACTCACGTCTTTTCAAATGTTTTCTTTCCAAATATTCTGAATATATTGATATTGATATATATAAAAGAGTAGAAACTCTTTTCCATTTGCAACTTCTTTGAGGGAAAGTTCTTCATCGGAAACAACAGATCGTTACAGGATTGATATTTCGAACCAAATTTTCTAATGTTTGACCCGGCTTTAACGTCAGAAATTTGCGGCAATTAGCTTAAGATTTTTTTCATTCTCATCGGCAATGAGTATTAGAGAAGCGGGAAATTTCGCTAATGTGTTAAAATGAGTCGCTCTTTAAAAGAATATAAGATTTCTACAAATCTTTGAATTTTCGAATATTTATATTCTCTGTGTATTGGCGAAAATCTACTAAGGAAATATTTTCATATAATAATATGTTCATTAATTATAAACTGAAAAAGTAAAGCACTGTAAGAAGTGATATGAGCTGCTACGAGTGAACTTCAACGTCAACAATTGTTTGAAATCGCTCTCAGCACAAGACAGTCGCCCCTTGTACGAAACTACACTAGTTTTACTCTATAAGGGTGTTTCACTTATACCTACCACATTTATTTACTCTTTTATTTATCAGTATAAATATAAATATTTCGGAAGAAAATTATTGTACTTCGGAAGGGAGATTAAACTATGAGAGTAGAAATTAAGATGATTTCTGCTTAGATTTTACTAATTAGTAGTTTTTTCAAGTGGGTTGACTTACTTTTTTGGTATAAAAAAAGTGAGATCAAGATACATACAACGATGTGTAATCCTTGATCTTCAAATGAACTTGGATCGAAAATTTCACAGGCATATAACTAAGGCGGAAATTCAAGCTATGAACGTAACATGTACTTTTAAAATTCATAATAATGCTTTTCAAATTATTTCATCCACATTCGATTACAAATTATAACCAATTCAGCAACTATGTTAATAAACATTTAAATCATTTGAAATAAAAATCATTCAACCACATAAAAGCATGTTGCACATATACTTGCATTATGTTTGAAGTCTTCTTTTCCGTAAGCGAAGTCTCTAAACCAATGTAATATAATAGCTTCATCTTATTTTTTTCGATTAAAACCAGCATCACCTATAGACATCTTGCATATTTTTTACGCTATTTAATACGTAGTATTCTCTAAGTAATTTCCCCTGGTAAAATAATATTATTATTCCAATTACTTATTTCGCCATGTTTACAAATTTATTAAATAATTATCCTGTATGTTTCACAAGATTATTGAAATACTGTGTATACTTACGCATAAAGATTAAAAAGTTGTGAACATTCATCTTTCCTATTTTCCTCAAAGAACTGTTTTTCGTAATTCGTGGCATAGCTACATATCCATTCAATTTCTGTCATAACGAAAAATTAAAAGATGCATCGGCATGTGTTCTAGCTTGCATTGATGTTGCCTGAGAGAAGTCCTCTATTATCACTTTCCTATGCTACTGCCAAGAATCTCATAGAATAGACACATATTAATTAACGGTACATCAGTTGAAAACTTGAAGTTATTTATATTAGATGTACTTAGTATTAATTATTAATAACACCACAAGCTATTATGGATAAAACTGTAGTTTTAAGATATACGTATTTAACTAATTAAACGCTTCCTTACTTTAGGGATGTAATTTGCAATACTCATAAATATAATACTGATTAAAAGAAAACTATCAGTTTGTGGAATATATGTACTTTACTACATTGTATACTGTTGATGCATATAAAAAGTCATTTGCTATATACAGGACGCTTTAAAATATAAATTAATCAGTACATGATGAATATGAATACTATGAATAAAACGAAGAAGGAATTATTTATAAATATTTAAATTAAAAATACAGAAATACCACTGGCAATGAAAAATGTATTATCGTTTGTTATCACCATGTAATAACACTTTTAAATTTATTTAATTTACGACCATTGTATTTAATGGGAAAGTGAATCCAATTTGAATAGACATTTATCAAATAATCATTATTTATATTTGTATATTACAGTATAGCAAATACTAACATTTCTGTTATCACTTTTAATTCACGAGACATTGAATCGTCGACTTCCGATTCATCTTTTGTTTATACTCCATTGTTTATTTTTATATTAAATATTTGAAAACTTTTCTTATTAATATTATAAATCATGAAGTAATTAATATATTCAAATTATTGTAGAAGGGTATTATTAAATAGAAAAAAATTATATCTACTATAATTTTCACAAGTTACTTTTTCAAATTAATGTGTATATAATGCGTCTTCAAATTCGAATTGTATGTAATTTCTGCAGAATGCGTCAAAAATAATATTTTTTAATTTTATTTTTACATAAAAAATCTGCGCCAACAAACATAATTTTTTATATCAAGAAAAAGTCATTTTTCCCTGTTAACACTTTGATTATCAGACCAAATGTTGCAAAATTATGAGAACGTTAAGTCTACTTTCAAACTATAATTAAATAAAACAATCATTTTATTTTATTTGACATCTTACTGTAAAAATTATTTTTTTGAGTGTATCATAACAATTACAAACTTATGTTTGTATTTATCTTCATGTAACATAATATAAATTAACAATTATCTATTTATCAGGTCATGTTCATTGTGGGCACTTTTTATCATTTAACATAAAGTACAATTAATATAATATAATGATTTGATTACGTGAAGCCAAAGTGCTTTGAATATTTGTACGTTAAGTTGAAGATCTTTTTAGTATACCTAAAACTGTATTTGGTAATATATTCAGTGAAAATTAAATTATAATTAAATCAATGAAATTGATTTCAAGCCCGCTTAGTGATCGCATATGTTTAGTTAAATTAGATAAAAGATTTATTCACAATTACGAATGATATTCCAATGCAATTAACGATAATGTCTGATATATGTTGTTAATATTTTCAGACAACCAATTTCTGTAGTCTTTTAATTAGTTAATTTTTTATGCTACGTTACTTTTGATTAATAGATAGGTAACTAATAATGAATTTGTAATTTCACAGGACGCTGTGATAAACGAATTGAAAAACAAAACAAGACTAGTTCAGGAGAAGAAACTGTTGCAGCAGGATGAAGTTTATAATGGTGCTCTGGAGGACATTCTCCTTGGGCTCAGGTCGGAACCGTATCGCAGAGCAGATGCAGTCAGGCGTAGTCAACGTAGACGCATCGATAATCACAGACTTTCTCGCACTGCTGAAGAATTGGAGCTTTAAACCGCCTTTCGTGTATTTTTCATCTTAAAAGAATAATTATTTCCTTCTGGAAAAAGACTGTAACTTCTACGGTAATTTATTGATAATAATCGTATCAAATAACTCTTTCACGTCCAGTCATTTCTGTAATAAGCCCTATGTTTGCTGTTTTCATGTCGCGCGTAATAAAATTTTCTATCGGTATAATAGAGATCAGGTAATTTATACATAAAAAGTTTATTTAAAGATATCATAGGGAAGGTGCACAAAATACGTAACATCCAAAAGTCACAAGTTTCAAAAGTTTAACTTTCAAAATGAAATAAAAATATATATTACAGTTAAAACTAAACACGGTGTAAGTTAAGAATTTTGTCAGGAATAAGGAAGAAAAGTGACTCTATGTTTATCATACTGAATTAGATGTGAGTGTATAAATATTTTTATAGTAATTTTAAAAAATTGAACTATTGTGATGGAAACAAATATTGAAAATTTCGTGACATTCTTTTATTTTTCGAAAAACTAAGTAATCATCAAGTTAGCAAACAAAGTTTGAACGCTCAAAGAGAATTGTGATTCAGAAAAATTGAATATGAAAATACATTGTCTTTCATAATATTTATATACATACTATAGACAGCCATTTAATTGCAACTCATTAATAACAAAACATTCAATATATTTTAAATTTTGTTTAATTTGATTTAAAAATTAACTTAATTGCCATTATATTCATACTCGTTTACTCTAAATAAATGATTCACATATGCATATACAATGTAATGGAATTAACATACATTAGTTGATGTTCAATTGGTGTTAAAAAATGCAGACATTTCACAGTAATTGCCAAAATTTCAAGTCTGCAAACGTGAAAGAGTTAATTAAAAGATTAACATTTGTAAGAATATTTACAGTATAATTGCAAAATTCGTAAAACTCAAAAATTTATCAAAATTTATATGGAATACTGATATACGCATAAGCCATTATGTCTACAGTTCTATATACCTTTACCAAGAACTAGATCACTTTCAGTTAATAAATACAACTAATTCATTAGAATTTTTAGCAAATGGAAACAAATTGCCGAAATTCTAGTAATTGTATAATGTGTTTCCAGTCTGTTATATAAAGTGTTAGTAAAAAAAAACTAACTTAGGAACGCATGTTCAGAAAAGAAATTGTATAATTATTTTTGCATTGTTTTTCATACTTATCTTTAAAGAATTAGACTTGAAAATTGTTTCCATTTAATTATTGTTGATTGTTATATGCGCTTAAGATGTTTATAATTTTTAAATGTAATTGATATGTGTTAGTCATTTGTTTGAGAAAATATCTAAGGGAAGGAGGAGATGGAAAATCAGGTAATATAAAGCGCATTTATTTTGAAATGGAATTTAAGTATTAATTTAAATATATCTGAAACGACTGCCGACAAACTACAGGTACTAATTAAGTCACATTCCATCGATCTGGGAAACCAAATCACCTCATACAGTTTAACGACAGAACAACTATTTTGCGCAAAAAGTTACAAATGTTGCACGTAATTACAGTAAAATTTCGAAAGTTCCAAAAAGCAAATCTTGTAGCATATTTTTCTGAAGATCTGAAAGTCAATTGTCCGATAATCTTTATTAAAGTAGTATAATTAAGTAGCAAATGGATAATAGTGCAGTTTAGACTTGTCATGAAATTTTTTTAAAGAATCTCTTATTTTGTAATATGTAACACATAGAGTTAGCACAAACTTAGTACATTCCGTCAAGACCTCAAGATGCGCTCAATATACCGATAAATACAAACTAGAATTTAAAACAGTCGTTTCTACTATAACGCATACAAAGAAACATTTCAATTACATTGTATGTGAATAAAATAGACTAGATCAAAATAGAACACGTACCGACAATTACTGATAATCAAAGTGATAAAACACACAATTCAATTAATAATAATGTGTGCGAGTATAGAAGCTAAACCAGTTTAAATTTGCTGGCATTACAATCTACATCGAGATATTGCATTACAAAACAAAATTATTATGTTTAGATAATTTTTCATATAAACATGAATGAAGGGAAATCATTTAAAATATTGTAGTACATTTTCAAATTGTAATTGATTCCTAAAAGTCTGGCCTAAAATAGAACGTTATAGTCGGGTCGACTGCAGTAGCAAACGTAATTTCGCGTTGTCCATTACTGAATATCTCAAAATATAGTTATCAGAAAATAACTAAGCATACAAATTATCTTTCAGAGTATTTTGAAATGTATTGTCAAGCAGTCTGAATAACATTACGTGCAAACTTTCTACATGCCTTTTTCTGGGTGATTTTACATATCCCAAATTTTTTGGATAATAATAAAATTATATTTTCACTTTTGTACGGTTTTGATATTATATATTACCCGTAAAACAATGTAAATATAACTGTAATATAACAAATACGTTAGTAGTTATAAAAAAAAATGTAATTAGTACTAATAGTAGACGAATTGACAATGTGATGTTTAGATAAGTATAACATCTGTATGTTATTAATATTACATAAGTAATATTACTCGTTGCTAAACTGCAAAAACCAATTTCAATTGATTGCAACAACAGAAAAATAAAACGTATCTTATGTATTTTTTGCAAACATGTAAATATTGTGCATTTTATTAAATAAGTAATACAAAATAGGCATGTGCTTCACTTTGTATAAAATTTATTACAAATAAAAATGATACCAATGTATAAATACAAGTATCTATACGTATATAATCATTGATACATTATTCTCTACATTTGTGTGCCACCTTGTTTAATCGATGCTTCACAAGTCTAATTTTCCAGGGAATATTGTGTTTCCACTTTAATAGATTATCAAGGTAAAAAATAATTTGTAGCAAATATTTTTTCTGAAGTTTTATTTATTGTTTATGTGAATAGTCTACATTATTATAATATTTCATGTAAAATATGTTTATGTACAAATATACAATATACAAAAGGCACAATATATCTACATTCTTTAGATCATATATAGTAAAATGCATATAAAGTGACCCATACGCGGTCAAACGAGATTGTTAATCATGCTTAACAATTCAGGATTGACTGTTACTACTTAATATAAATTTTTTTTATAGTGTGGCTCGTGCAAATTTATATTATCAAGACGATGAATACACAAACAATCTATTTAATATTAGAACTTTCGATTATTCGCTTACGCTTTTACAATAAATGTTTAAATACTTCGTAAAAATATTTTGGTGTCTCTATAACTACAAAATTTATAAACTGTTGAAACGTTCATAATTCCAATATCTAAATGAAAAATAATATCTGTTTAGTTCATTTTTGCAAATCGCTTTATAAACGTGTAAACCTTTTACCAGCCAGAGCATTACTTAATACTTTAAAATTAATCATCTTGAAATATTTTTCATGTCTTCAAAAACACATTCCTAAGAGTACCCATGTTGTGCAAGCATCATGATTGACAAGTATGTTTGAGCATCACTTAAAATAAAGTTCAACTATATGAATGAATATCGATAACAGACAGACCAGTTTTACTTCTTTTATATGTATTGCAATATGTAACAAAATTATTCTTCCCATAACAATTTCTGAAAATAGTATACAAATAATCCACATCATCACCACTCAGCACTTACAAAACTGCTGTATCGATTTTATTTTAACATTAATGTTATTGTTAAATCGACAAGAAAAAATGCCATTTTCATATATGTTTAAGTAAATTATAAACCAAAAACTGATACAGTATTATTTGTAAATACTACTCATTGTTTTTATCATATAAAGTTTCAGTAAAAATTCACTTTTTATTCATTCATTTATAAAAGAAAATAAATTTATATTTATTTTATAATTACTTCCACTACAATGGCTAATTCTTTGATAATCTATTCAAAGTGGTCGTATTAAAGCAAATGAAATAATAATTAGATGTTTACACTTAATTTCATGTATTTACAGTAAATTACAAATAACGCTACCTCCCAATTTTGTTCATTGTAAATACTATCTGTCTTTTTAAATTCAATGTTACCATTTATGGCCATTTATGAATGTTCATCTCCCATGATTTGAGAATGTAGGTATGCTTATAAAAGTACCTAATGTAAGTATTATACAAATCATAATAAACTCATTTTAAACGTATATATATTTATATATAACACTGATGTATCATCGTCAACGGTATCGTAATCATAGAATATCTAAATTCCATTTTTCTCTTTTTACGTAGACTGAATTGTGTAAAATTGATTAAGCTGAAAGAACAGATTAAATCAATCTCTGCACTTCTAAAAATATAAAAATTATTTTCTCCTTTTCGAAACATTCTATCACAATGTTACTATGTTTTCACAGTCCGCATTACAATAAACCTTTTTGAACATGTTACGCATACGACATGCGGTGTTTTACCATTTTTTTTCCCTTTATTAGTTGTACAATAGCATGGCAGAAAACTTACATGATTCATAGTGTGATGTAATTGGTATATAAAACATTTAGTAACAGTTTCGTTCACATTGCAAATAAATTTCTAATAAAGTCAACAATACTTGCTCTGAATTGATTACAAAAATATATGTTATATTTAAGTTTTACTGAAATGAAGTATATATGCAAAAAATGATGTAAGTATCCTGAAAATTTCCTACAAGATAGCGACATTTTACATACATATTATATCTACATGAAGTCCCAAGTATGATTATCCACAGTATATTTTCCCCTAAAATATTTGTATAAAAATTCCAAATATCATTCTTAGCAAATGTTGATAGTAATAAAGGCCTTGAAAACCAGATGTCCAGGCATTCAATAATTAACAAATTAGTTATCAAATATGTAGGTACCTACTATTACTATAAACCAAACACACATTATAATTAATGAGATAGTGACATTGAAACCAATTTTTTCATACAATATTATTAAAAATATAGTAAGCTTAATAATGTTCCATCACACAAAAATATTAAAAAATAACAATGCTAATAAATCAGTAAGAGATTGTACCAAAGATTTCAGTATACTAACATAAATTGTTTAACTATAAATTTAATATAATTTTATGTAATAAAATGTAGCAATCTGAATTCTCATTATAATAAGATAATTACCAAAATTTAGTCAAAATAATTTGTATTAAAATATTCGTAGATAAGAAAATTGGTTTTTCAGACATTAGATGACTGATAAATGTAATCTATGAAAATTTACATAATCAACCGTTTTTAGCAAAAAGAGTAAGACTTCTTAAAAAATTCTAAATCCACTCAAAAATAGTCTACAACATATTTCATTGGAAATGTTCATTATTGTTGCAGTTAGATGACAACATAAGACAACTATTTTTTAAACATCTTCATTTTGGTTTTCTACAGTTTTTTCATTTAGTTATAATATATCAAGTGGCTGTAAATTTGTACCTCTAGGTTAAACTCACTTTATGTACTGAAATTTGTAGAAATTATTATGAAAACAGTTTATATTAGTGTACCAATGCTTTATTTAAGAATAATAACATTATCTGTTAACATTTTTCAATAAATTTGTATTACTAAATTTTTTATTTCATTACTTAAAAAAATATTTTAACCCGGTAATTACAATTTTCAGTACATAGTTAATTGTAACTATAGTACCCATATTTACAAATTTGTATTAATTAAATCAATGGATATTCGAATACCTGTAAAACCAGTTTAATCAATGACCTCATGGATGGATAGACTTTGTAGCTGCAGGATATATGTATAAATTGTATAAATTTTTGTATAATCTTTTAAAATAATACTCCATTAGAGATAGTAATAATTTAGCAACATTATAAAAATGTAGTATAATTTAAAAACATTCTAAGAATATCAATTAAAGTGGACACGATTTACTTTATAGGAATGTAAAAACATTAGTTAGAGAAATACACCAATTATTAAAGTTATACAATATCTTAGCATGATGCAAACCATGTAAAAATTTCAACTTCCTAACATGTTGTATTATTATACTACACCTAAAACTTCTTATATACAAACACAACAAAATATTGATTCTCGTTCATTTTAAAACAACTAATATTGAATACAATATTTTTAAATGTTCTTAATTTCCATTTCTTTAATGCAAAGAATGGAAGAAACAAAGATTTTATGTAATACATGATCGAAACTGCAGATTAAAGTAATAGCAAGCATGAATGCAAATATGCTTTTCAGAATATTTATAATGTTACACATTGTACTAAGCTAATGGAAAATAAGTTACATAGAAGTTTATTAAGTTTATTTAAAACTCTTTGGTTTCATCATATACGTTATTACATAAAATCCTTGGTTATAGCGATATTTATAAATTAAGTTCAAAATGCTGTTAGTTATAACGAAATTTTAAGTTATGCGATTTTCAAATAAAATTAAGACGTATCGTTTAATAGATCAGCTTTGTTACGATCCAATAGTCCTACTTTAATAATGTTAGACATTGCTGGCTATCGTATATTTACAAAATTCATGAGAACAAAAATTCATTTAAAAAAAAGGTACCTGCAACTAGTTAATTATAGCTCATATGTTTATGACAATAAAAGATTAAACATAATTCTGACAAATTGCTGTTACACACAAATTGAAAAATCAACTTTGTTTGAATCTTTATATAGAAGAAATAAATAATACTGATTAATGTAAACTTTCTTAAAAAGTAATAATGTTGTAATAAAAATCAGTTATCAAAGTTGAAGTTTAGTACAGCTGGTACTATGCGTTTACTAAACAAAACCTGTAATGTTTTCAAAATTCATCATAAAAAATACTGAAATTTACATTAAAAATAACAACATATAAATGAGAAAGTAATATTAAAATATTAGAATTATATTAATTTTCAATTGCTTAGAAAATGTAATTTATTGTACAGAAAAGAACAGAACTCCAATGTAAAAGTACAAAACCAACAAATCAAAATAATATAACGAACATGAAAGTACAAAAGATACTGAAATATCGAAATCCTGTGTACAATTCTGAAGTCAAATTAAAGAAGGAAATAGAACATAAAAATTGACGCGTTTTGTACACAGCAATTTGAACACAAACTGGTTAGTTTCATTTGGTTTATATGGCATGGATCTAGTATTTGGTTTCTTTGTTACTTAATAATTCAATGTTAACAAACGTAATTAACCTTACATACAAAATAAGTTACTCTTATGTTTGCAAAAACTGGTTATATCACCAGTATTTTCATTACATTTTAATATAAAAGAGAAAGCATCGGATTAAATATCTGTACAAAATAGAAAATCTTACTTAAACTATTAGCAAACTGATCCTTTTTTATACAAATATGTAAAAGCATTAATATTGACAATGTATAGAATACAAGTTACTATGTACAATATATTGTATATATAATAGTCTTCTTACAACCCTTTAATATTTATAAAAAAGGATGGAAACGTTTTATCAAAACATATACAACATTCATATACATGTATGTACATATACATATGTGTATACACACATGTACATATACATGTGTGTAAAAATTTTCAATGTATATTTTCGTTAGGCAGTTTTTACTTCCCTTGATGTATAAAACTATTATAAAAAAGTTTAGTTTACCGTTATAAACGGAGGTAATCATGAGATTTACATTGGTACACACACATTGGTATTGTCTTACCAGAACATTTTTCTTTCTAATTAATGTCCTAATCCTTACATGAACTACACCTTCAGTTTACTGTATCTCAAGCACTAAATGTTGAATGCATACCTTCGGATCGGAAATAGTTTCACTTTCTATATATGTACATACATCTATTATTATTGGAGCATGAGCGATTCCAAATTTCTATGCAAAATTGTATCTTTAACTGCATTAAATACAACTTTTATGTTCTCTGTATCCACTGCAGTTGTAAAATGATGAAATAGGGGTTTTCTCGGGTCCCTTTTCACAGATATAAACATTTCCAATATAAAATTTTGCACATCCTTCATAGAATGCGAATCTCCTGCAAATTGAGGAAAATACCAACGAACGTTTGTATCAGGTGATCTCACTTTTTTGTCTAACAAATCAGTTTTATTTAAAAACAAGATGATAGACACTCCACCAAATATCATATTATTGACTATCGTGTCAAAAATATTTCTCGATTCTTCCAATCGATTAGTTCTCCTGTAAATAAGGGATATTGTTTAACGGTTTTCTCTTTTAATATGAAGATACTAATGAAATTATAACACACCTGTCTTCTAACAATACTTGATCAAATTCAGATGATGACACAAGAAAAAGTATAGAAGTAACACAATCGAAACATTGATACCACTTTTGTCGTTGAGATCTCTGTCCTCCAACATCGACAAACAAGAATGGTATATTATTAATTTGTATAACAAATTCTGAAATTCCTTTTGTAGCTTTCCTACAATGTAAGATATCCTGATGTGTAGGTACATAATCCTGTAAATAAAATTCATAATACTTAAATGATACTGTACTACGCTAGGAAAATAGTATGAAAAATTTATGAAAATTACCATCCTTGCAATTCTGTCAAGATTGTCCAAGAAATATTGAACTGAATCACTCTGTAATTAAAAAAATACTTATAAAATATAAAAACATCAAAGATTTCAATACATTAATAGACATTAGTGAATTTATATTTTTGCTCCATTTATCTTTGATATATGGCAATTAAGATGAAATATAATAAAAAAACACACAAATATATCTTACTAATTGAAATTCTCTCCGTCTATCAAAAGCTTTCCTAATGGACGCATCTTTCCATAAACTTTGTAAAGCTGGCACATAATGAAGAAATAACTTAGCATCTAATACCATAGTATTTTCAAATTTGAGTAATTGATAACCAATATCATAGTTTTTAGAGTTTTCCCATGGAATATTCAATTTGTCACGAGCATCCACCAATACCTTCATTCCTTTTATTATATTTTGATAAATTACATGTTGGTATTCTTTGATCAATTCAGGCTGAAAAGAAAAAAGAGTACCATAAACAATAATATTTCTAAATAATTTCTAAATAATTTTTAATAACAATAATTTTAATGTAAATTTAAATAACATTAATTTGTATATGTTTATAAATACATATGGATAATAATATTGGAGAATCCGAAGTTTCTATCAAAATTTGTTTACGAATAGATTAAAAATTATTTAATGTATTATGAGATCTATATTTAGTAATTAAGAATATGATAAATGGTAAAACAAACAGATAAATATTTACAAATAATGGACTGTGCCAAAGCTTGCTAATACTCTTTATAAAATCATCTCTGTATATATGAATTTTTTTATACCTTCTTGACTAAGAGTATTTATCTACATGAATTAGATTAAAGACTACTTTATATCCAAATTTATTTGAAAGTATAGTTATGAGAAACTGAACAGAAGTTTGTTGTATGCTTTTATAATTGAAAACAATAACAGGTAGACGATATGTAAAACATTTTTGATGAATAATTATCAAAACTAATCAATCATGGTTCAGACTTACTTTCTTATACTATATCTTAAATCATGTGTTTGGGTCAACCACCTTCTTATAAATAAAGGTCTATTTTAATAGATACAACACAGTGACAGAGTTTTTAAATGAAACTACAGTTTCCTAAAACTGAACGATTCATGTATCAGAGTGAAAACATTGATCAGTAAACCGAAAACGATGAGAAGGCTGGATAAAAAAAAGACTTCGAAGAAAAGGATCTGTTTGAAAAGTCGAGGATGTCCTACCTCGAATTTAATTCCATGAATAATTCGCATCTGTTTAAGGAATGTCGACTTTCCGCTCTCGCCTGCCCCGAGGAGCAGCAGCTTGACCTGTCGTCGGAGAGCTTGACGATCTTTCTCCAGCATCCGATCGATCTCCTGACTCTTGTAACGCTGCTCGATCTCCTCGGGGCTGAACTTGAACCGCAGGCAACAAGTACATGACCACGTTAAGGACCCCGCCATCTTGCTACCCTGCTACCCTCCTCTTCCTTCCTTCCTTTTTCCTTCCGTCTTTCCGTGTCAGGCTGTCCTTCCGAAGGAATATATCCTTGAATGTCCAAACACTGTGCACGCATACACATACACACACGCACTCGTAC